GGGGCCCCCAACTGGATCAGGCCCTCTGAATAGATCTCTGATGTATTCAAAGGCACCTGGCCAAACACCCTAACTGTCATGCTAGAAATCTCATCCAATGACTGAGGGAACCGGATGCAAAGATCCACGGCCAGGCTCCAGGGTGGAGCTCTAGGAGTCCAATTGGTGAGAAAGAGGAGGGTTTGTACAAGGAAGAACCGTTGAGATCAAGATTGGAAAAAGCACAGGGACAAATAGCCAAACTAATGGAAACACATGAACTATGAACCAATAGCTGAGGAGCCCCCAACTGGACCAGGCCCTCTGGATAAGTGAGGCAGTTGATTAGCTTGAACTGTTTGGGAGGCACCCAGGCAGTGGGACTAGGACCTGTCCTTAGTGCATGTGCTGGCTGTTTGGAACCTGGGGCTTATGCAGGGACACTTCGCTTAGCCTGGGAGGAGGGGACTGGATCTGCCTGGACTGAATCTACCAGGTTGAGTTGAATCCCCAGGGGAGTCTTTGTCCTGGAGGAGATGGGAATGGGGGTTGGCTGGGGGGAAGGCGGAGTGGGGTGGAGCACGTGGGAGAGGAGAGGACAGGAAAATCTGTGGCTGATATATAAAATTAAATTATAAAATAAAAATAAAAATAAAAAGAAGTTCAAATAAACACACATTTATTATTTAAAAAGAAAAGAAAAGAAAGAATTTGAGAGGGAAAGAGAACCCTGGCATTCAGACCATAGCCCTTGCTTCACTAGTAATCCTGCCTCAGCCGTGTGCTGAGATTTCAGACGTGCACACTTCCCATATAAATATATATGTATATATTTGGTGCCTTGAGGCTAGACCTGTAGCTCATGGTAGAGTCTGTGATTAGTATGACTAAGCTCCACAGTTAAATCTGTAGCATAATCAATCAATAAACAAAATTAGGTGGGTATTTATTTCCTTGTCAAAGTAGTGACAATTCATTGAGTACGGTTTTGAAGCTATAAAGAAAATAAAGGTATAATGTGTAAATGACTACATGCACAGTAAATATATAAAGGAAATAGAAGCTGCCTTAATCTTAGATCTAAATATAACCACTCTGATTATTTTTAATGAGTTTCTTTCCATATTCTTATTTTGTATGTACTTATAGCTATGGTTGAACATTTTTTATATACCAAAAAATTTTGTACTGAAATCTGATTGCCTTGACCTTTTCCTATGTGACTGCTATTCTAAAACATGCTTTTTAACTTGAACTCTGTAATCTCTTTAAAGAGCACACGCGTCTTTAAAACCTCGTATTCTGTACCGGGAGACCAAGGTAAAGAGACTGTTTACCATTGTCACATCTCAGGACTCCATTCACACTCTTCCACATCTCTTTTGTATCCTGTCTTGGTCATCTTCAGATCCACTGTGTGGGTCCTCTCCCAGTTTTCTGGGGTGTGTCCCCTTGACACCTTCCCTCTGTCTAAAGTATTTCAAATGCAGCACTACAGTACACAAACTCTATTTGCTATTTTTATTCTGAACCTCAAGTAGAACAGTTGATTCTATCTAGAATAATCCAGTTCTCCTTTTCATTATAGCAATAAATCACAGAAGGGAATTTTCTCATAGACCATGTGATCGTTACAACATAACCACTTGCAATTCGGGTTATTGGTGGTGGTGGTGGTGGTGGTGGAGAAGGTGGTGGTGGTGGTGGTGGTGGTGGTGGAGGAGGAGAAGGTGGAGGAGGAGAAGACAGTGATGGAGAAGGTAGTGA